TATTGAGAAGGAAAAAATCGGAGAAAAGAATGGGTTGAAAAAAAAAGGAAGTTACAAAGGGATTAGAGATTGATTTTAGGGGGGTATTTGGGCAAAAATGGCAAGCTTGAGAACGGACTTCAGAAATGTTTAAACGATGTTTCAACTTATTGAATTAAGTTTGCATTGTGTGGCAATTCGGCATTTGCCTATCTGTTTCAGAGTTTTATTTTAACTAATATTATTTATACATATAGATATATAAATAAATTTTTTGCTATTATTTTTTTTTATTTAAATAGTCAATGCATAATTTTTTTTTTTGTTATTGTTGTTACATTCGTCTTCTATCTGTTATACTTGTGTCATCTGCATATCTTCAGTTATTTATTTGTACTATTTGTTCAAAAAAAAAAAAAAAAAAAAATAAGTGGGTGGAGGTGAGGCTAGGGGATCAAAGTAGAAATAATGGTAAATTTTTTTGTCTTGATAAAAATTTAGGTTTTTTTAAATGAAACATAAATTTATTGCCTGTATAATCTGCAACAAAAATGTTTCTCTTCTTTTGTTTTATAAATTCTCATCAATTTCTTCAGTTTTTTGTCAATTTTAAAAACTAATTAATTTTTATTTTAGTTGTCATCAACCAATTGTTTTTTTTTTTCAACCGCTGTCTTGATTTCCATTGCTGCTTTGAAAATACCAAAGTTTTAAAACAAAGAAAAATGCAGCATATATTTCGCATCGTGTACGATGAAACTGAAGGGATAGTGGTGAAAAAATTGAGAGCTGTGAGAAGAAAAGAAACTGTTGATATGGCTAGACCAAAATTAAATCAGTTTTATCAATTTAGTATGTCTCTTAGTATTTCTGTGATATATATTTATTGTTGGAATTTAAAATCAGAGAAACATTTATTCCGACAATCTTGCTTAGTTGAGCCACTCATTCGTTCATCATCCAATATTTTCTTTTTTTTCTTCCTCTTTGTCGTATTAATCATCTCTATATTTAATTTTGTTTGGCATTTAATTCACGTTACGGTTTCAAACCAAGTAATTACTGGAACATTATAGCAGTGATGATTAACAGTTTTTTAGTGTTGAATATATAGCGGAAATAAAGTATTTTTGCTGAAGAAAAACCGAAACCACAGGGAATAGGTATAGTGGACGGATATGCCGTATGCGAAATCCGCGGATCGGTACAGCGGCAGATATCCGGTATCAGCATGCAGCAGCGGTAGCGGCGGTGGTACTGTTAGTGGCAACAGCGGAGGTATCAGCGGATCGCCAAATCATGCGCTCCCAGGAGCTTCGGTTCGGACAATGGAGAAGGTTGAAGAAATTGCCTTGCCGCCGTCACTTCAAAGGTTTATAACGGCACCTGCCACAACTCGATTACAACAAACACAGGTTAACCTTTTTTTTTT